GCTCAGGCTGACGTAAGTAACCGAAAGTGAAATTTCACCTCCTTAGCAACGCGCGCGAGCGCGCGCATGAATCGGTTAATGGGCCCCTAAAGCGCGCGTAATTGTGCGAATAACGTGGATATCCAATTACAGGTATCTAATTACAAAAAGTTCAAATTAGATATCTGTAATTGGACACCCACGTGATCGCGCGCCGATTACGTGACTTATTATACACTGTAGTCACCATCTGTCTTCTCATTGGCTAAAAGCCTACAGTTTATTCTGGGAAGCAGTGCAACCTACAGATTAGTGAGTAATTCGTAGGTTGCGCACGCAATTCTAAGACCAATGTCAAATTCTCGGTAGTAGTTCGTCATGTGCGGTCATCCGAGCCGAGTAAGTTGCGGTTCTTTTCAGAACTACCATCACAGACGATCACAATGAGTTCAAACTAAATCGCCAATTATGGGGGCACCAAATGATAACGAGGGAGGCACGGTACAACCCACCTTGAAGCTGAGTAGAATCTGGATATCAGTATGATCTATGACGGGACGGGTCGAGGATGCCAAGGGAAACAAAAGGAACAAAGTCTAACGGACCTGTTGGAACCACTACCTTGTGGTACAGGCACAAACATACGTTAATATGTATACACGACTTGTTGCATACGGTGCTCTGATATATTGAAAAATCGAATTTTATTTGCACAATGTCATTGGCTTCATTGCCGAGAAGCCCCTATCTATAAATATACGTTATATTAAGTTTTAAAATGTACTATATAAATAACCGAGCTGGGCGCATTCTTTTGCTGACTTCAGCCGGAGATGTTGGCATTGGATACATCATGTAGTACAGTAACAGAAGTAGAGCTTCAATTAAATCATGAGACTTCCGCATGTGTCTTTCCCGTGTTCTCCGACTCCCGTAGTTTCAAATCAGGCCCTTTGTTTGATTTTTTGTTCAATTTCGCCTTCAATATAATTCTATCCAAGAAAGTAGTCTGCTCGCAGCTTTGATATTTTTGGCAGTAAACGCTATTGAAGTAATACTTTTGTTGTTGTGAATTTTCTTAGAAATTTTCTTAGTACGCCTTGTAAGCATGTCAAAATTGAACGGTTCACGAGATCTATTTTTCATCCTTAAAAGCCCAGAATGATGTTGGTTTATCGTTTACTGCACGATAGCGTGTCACAAACGAAGTGAAGCTCGACACACAGTTTCCTATAAAGTGGTCAGCCATGGTTAATACAGCTAACTCCACTATTGGATCACTGATTTCATCTGAAGGATCTCTCCTGTGCACAGACACCTGCAATGACAAGATCAATTATTGTCACGAGAAAGAAATATATATCCAAAGGGTGAGATGTAACAATAAGTTTACGATTTCGATTGGTGCACCAGAAGTCTTACAAGTAAACCAAGCCTGTAGCACTTCATCTGGTCTTATGGTCTGGGTAAGGGTACAAGTCCCAAAAAGGATTTAGTGTCGTTAGTGACTCACTGGTGTCGGTGTGGTTTGAATCACATTCAAAGTTCGACCACCGACCAATTTTGTTTTCCTGTGTTGGTATAAGTCGGTAGAAAAGTGCTTGCAATAAAGGGTGAAAAAAGCCTTTTACAGTGGGCTGTTACAGCTAGTTTGTAGGTAATACAGTGAGCAGTCCCAACCGGTCCTGTGGTTTGTTAATGGACGATATTCAGCAATGTCTTTGTTATACCAACGTTTCTCGTCCCTCAGTTTTGGTCAGTCGGTTTCGTGTTCTGGTTTCTACCAGTCTCTCCGATGCTATCGGTCCCACATTTCTCCCAAAAACAAAGTAAGAACTTTTCCGATGGAAATTTCATGTCATTCTTCATTCAATGTTCCATTCTTGAAGTGAGGAGTTCTGATGATTAAACACAAACCGCATCTTGACAAGAAACTGAGCTGGAATGAAATACCGCACCTGCAGATATCTCGGCCACACCCTACCGCCGTTGTTCAAAACAAACGAAACAGTTACATACCTTCAACGACTTCAGAGCGTTTGAGAGTTCCTTTATCATTGGATCATTATCCGTTGCAACAAATACTCTTTTTGCTTTAGCTTTCTTCACAATCTTTTTCGTTTTCTTGAGGATTTCACTCTTTGGTGGAAAGCACATCTCGTAAGTGAGTTTCTTGTTGGAGCCAGGCTGGATGCACTGCGGTGACGCAAAGAAGGAAGTGGTGTGTGGGTCTTTCACATGCTCACAAGCTCTTTCCTGGAAAGAAAGGTTGTCACATGAATAGCGTTATTGTAGACTAAAAAGGAACTGAAGACCATAAAACAATTTAAATGAAATCAATATGACAGTTCTTTAAATTTTTGAATTCGAGATTTTGTCAATTCTCTTAGATCTGGCCTCGTGAAAACTGTGCATCGCTTTTTCTTTTGCTTTCTTTAATTCTTCTTTGGAGATCACATAAACAGGGATTATTGCTTGCACTCTGTTCGTTCAATTATACACACTGATTAAGTTTTCTAAAACCTTGAATTGAGTGGCCCCTAAAACACCTTAAAAGCGATTTTCTTAATACCCTTTTCTTTCCTTCAGCTCGTGAAATCCCTGCCCTTTAATGTACTCCCAGCCTTAAAAAGGACCTCTTCCAGACGGGGCCTTCCCACAGTCTAGTGTACATGTATTTTAGAAAGCAAACCTGGCCCCAGCACCTACTTCATCCAGCTATACTTACAAAATCTATGCCATTGCGAAGATGGATACCAACAAATGGTTCGTTCTGCAGGATGCTGGTTAAAAACTCCTTTGCTTTCTTTTCGATCTTCACTGACCACTGAACAAACTTCTGTAGCCACCTGTCTTTTTCATGCACCGGGAAGGAACCAGGGGCTCCCATCAATGCTATTACAGGATATTCTGACACTGGGAATCTACAAACCAGTCAACAAACGATATAACCTATAAATGAGATCATCCATAAAAGAATGAAAAGGCACTGCTACACAAAAGGAATGTGGTGTAAGTAAAGTTTTGGCTAGAGATACTTGGGGGCCCTCTTACAGTATTCGCCTCAATTCTGACAAATGTCCACTCACATTTGTGGGGAGAAACAAACTCCACTGAATTTAACTCTTTCAAGGGAAAAGTTGGTGACAAATCCAGATATGCTCAAAGAGGGGCAGGACAAGGGTGGATGAAGTGAAATGGCAGGCCCTTTTATTTCTTGTTCACAACAGAGATGTCTTGCAGTGAAAGCTGGTGAAGGTGAGCCCTTTAATCCCAACAAAAGACGGTGGTGGGGTGGGGGGGGGGGGGGGGGGGGTAATTTAGAGAATAAATAGTTATGTGCTGATGAAAACAATGTTGTTCCAACAGATTATCGTAAATAGCCTGTTTCGGGTGTATCCAAGGAGATTACAAAAGTGACTAGAAAAGACTAAATTGTGAATAGAGAACGTAACTGAGGGCAACTTACTGGAAGTTTCACGACCTTTGGTGAAGGCATGTTTCTTGTATCCCACNCAAGATCTGTCCCATAAATTTTACCCTTAGATATTTCCTTTAAACAAACTCACATAAAGGATTCCATGAGTAGTTGTACAAAACTAGAAAATATTTGTTTTGATACAAAATGTACTAGACATGGTGAATTTCCAACATGTCTGAACACAAGGCTCTTAATAATTTATCAACATACATATCCCCATTTAATCAAATTATCAAACTGAGTAAAAAATCCCTCACATCTTTACTTAAAAAGACACAGAACAACCAATTACCTTGTATCCCATCCATCCCTGGCCCAGTCCTGGTCTGTATTCCACAGCAACCCAGAGTGTTCCCGATAGTCGTCAAAATTAATATGAAAGTGATCCCAGAAGGGACCAAAAGGATTCCCATCCTTCATTCCACACCTTTGATTATCTCGAAACGAGTAACAGAAACCTGTGAAAGACCATCATAAAGTTAAGAGTAAATTGTTAATCAGCAGTCTGATTTCTCTTTATAATATCGATATATTGTGAGGTGCTCAGAAAATGTTCTGAACAAACTAAAGCTGAACTATAGTTACACAAAAAAAGAGAGCTTGTAAGTCTGCAACTATTTTCAATAGTTTCACAGTGCCAATTTCTTTCTGTAAACGTTTCCTAATGAAGTATTTTTTCATACCACTGAAGTTGGCCAGCCAATATTAACCTTAAAATCTTGGAAGTAACCAAATATTTATTTTAATTAATGATTGGCTGGGTGACAGGTTTCAATAAAATTTACATTCACAAGCTTAGAACATATGAATAGTAGATGTGAAAGACATTTACCTATCAAAATTATATGTCATACCATAATATTAAATTTTTTGTACATTATGGTATTCTTTGTTACTCAGCTTTAAACTGGCTATAGATAGTAATATATTATTAAATAAATTCTTTGGTCACATGTCAGAACCAATTTTGTCCAATTAGTATCCAAGAGAAAAATTCATGATAATTGTTTTCCCTCAAATACTTGATTTGCAGGCAAACTGAAATTATTTAAGGCAGATCAACCTTCAGCAATTGTGAAGATATCTGTTATTATACCTACATGTATTTGAATGTAAAAATGCTCTTACACTCTAGCTTGTTTTTAAAACAAATAAATTAAGGGGTTAAGAATGAAAGGAATAGTGTAATTGTGGCAAAACAGAATAAAACCTATCCGCTGTCCAGGTGGCCATACTCGCGGTGCAATGTCTTTCATAAATGTCTCCATCGTAATAACATTGTGATAAGCTTCAAGAGGCTTAACAAGAAACCAGTCATCAAAAGGCACTCTATCCTGTGAGAAAAATATATTCTATATTAAATTAATGTAACAGTAATACACAAAAAATGCTCTTAAATACATGTAGTTTTTAAATCTCTCACATTAAGTAGCTCCATAGTGGGTGATAGAAGATATTTGAAGTACACAAGGCCACATTATCACACTTAATTCTCCTTCAGAATTATGAGGGTGGATTCATGCATGGAATTTTCTTTTTAATAGGATGCAATCATTTGAAAAAGATGCTGTAAGTTTCTATAAGAACATTACCAGCATATAGGCTTAACAAAAACCCAAATTTATCCAGAAAACCATTCCAGGGAGGGACTACCATATAAAAGTTAAACAGGGATGCTTGTGGGAAAATTTCAAAAGAACCCCTAAAAAGGACCAAAAAGTCATTTGAATCACCCCTAAGAGATATCAATTCTAAAAGAACAGATCAACTGATATTTTAATCATAGCTATAGAGTAAGTTATATATAGTGCTTGTTTTATTTTCTTACTCGGTACCCTAAAAGGTACCTCAATAACTCTCTAGCAGTGGTCACTTTTGACTTTTACACTCTAGGAGGTACCACAACACCAATTTTAACCCCTAATAGGTACAAAAAGCACCTCCCAACATCATTCCACACTGTGATTATTAAAAGACCTAAGTGAGTGAACATGTTAAGAATATAAATTTGTAAGCATGAATACATTTATATGTATTTATTTAGATAGTTTCAGGAAAAGCATCACAATGATAAAGTTAACTTACAGAGCCACCTATTTTATGGCTTGGATACACTATCCAGGGGGGTAGTATAAGAGTTCGCTTCAACCCCTTTGCAAATGCTAAAGATCCTAAAAACTGGTCTGCTTGATTTCCAAACCTGCCTAATTGAGAAAAAAATAAAGGACATGATGTATTATTTAGAAGCTAAACTAGTGGGCACCAATGAGAGAATTTGAAAAGGTGGCATACAATTTATTTTCTATCCATAATCAGGAGCCCATTACCCAAAGCATGCAACTTCCCCTGATATTATATTCATGCATTGCCATTTTCATAAGTAGATTTTTAGATATGCCTTTCCTACAAAAATTACTGTGACGTACAGGTGACACCTGCATCATACAAAATGGCAGCCAAGCTACATTGCATTCATATACTATTCTGTTCTCTCAGAAATCTCTGAAGAAGGTTCCTCACATGCTTCCGCCATATCTGTTTCCCATTTGGGCAAGTTCTCCTAGTTACGTGTTAACAGTCTGTCACACAATCACTTGTGATTGGTTACCCAGAATTTGCATTCAGTGCACTGAGTGAACACTTTCAGTGAGTTATGACTGATCCCTGTTTAAAGATTTGTTGTAAAGTTAACAAATGGCATAAGTTTGTCTTGCTGATTTTTTTAAAGCTGTCTGTCTTAATTTCCTAACAATAATGAGGGGGGTGTAAGGGTTTGCGGTGATGCGGTTTTACGTTATTTTTGGCGCGGTTTTGCGGTAATTTTCGTTTTAACTCGTAGTATTGCGGTTTCAAAACATGAAGCGGTTTGCGGTTATTACAACCTTTAAGTCACAGTTTTCGATGAAAAAAAAAAATGTCTGCGGTGATAACACTCTTTAGAACAGTCGGCAGGTGGTCGGCATCCAGTTGTTTTGCATGCGCCAGCCAAGTGTTTTGTTTTACAACACATCAGGGTTCATTATATCAGCTTACAATTTAACTCTGTGGTTTGCAATTAACAATCGTCTTCTCCACTGAACGTGAACTCTGTACGAGACAAGAAGGTCACAATTCCAGAAGTAACATTTATTCCGCGTTCCACATCTAGCACAGGGTCGTCCAAGGTAATCAGTCACCCAATGCAAGACGTACAGGATCAGTGACAGAGTTTTTCAAAGTCAAGGGAGATATCAGTACTCATTCAAGTACATGACCCACATACTTGGCATTTGGTTAGTAGTAAATAGAGTATAATAGTGTAGTACAGTATACCGTTAGCGTTATGATGGTACGTTTAATATTAACGTACAATGTTATTAGAATATATCACAAGTCTTTCTGACGTCAGCTTTCATATTGTGGCCTCCATGTACATGTGGTTTCGGTGTTCGGGAAAAAAATTCGGGTTTGCGGTTTTTTGGCGTATATCTGTGCGGTTTTGCGGTTTTCGGACCCCCCTTACGACCCCCTCACATAGGGAACTTTTAATAATACAGAACATGCAGTGAAAACGATTTACAGCGAATTACGAAAATCTTCTACGTCAAAGTTTTTTTAGAACAGTGTTGACAGAAGGGATTTAATGTCAATTCGTAGTGGGCAAAGGATTAAAAAAATTCTCATGACTGGATTTTTTTAAAACAAACAAAAACCATTTTTTAAGCCTTGTTTTTAACCAGCCATGATGCCATGGCAACAGCACACACCTTAGCCAAAATGTGAGAAAAAACCCTTCTGTGGTTAACCTTGACTCTTGGAAAAAACAGGTGCCTGTTTTTAAAAGTAATGGTGAATTAAGCATTGGCACTTGAAAACTGTGTTCGGTCACCTTAAACCAGAGGTAACAAATTCTGATTCATTTCAAGGAATAACCGTCTGAAATTTGTAAGTGCTTTATACACGTGTTTTATACACAGTCTGTAATGTTTAGTCTGCATTTTATAACTAAGTCCATAGTCCGCAGTCCACAGTCCATATTTATGACCGTGTAATGGCACATTTTGCTGACCCCTAGTCCATGGACTACACTGAAGGACCAGGTCCATGGACTACTTGAATGGACTACCCACCCAGAAATTTTTGGCAAACATAAATTTTAATGATGCTAGTCTAACCTGAACAAACACAATTACAGAACACTTTTGAGGTAACAGATTTAAGCCTGGTTCTTATATGCCGCCGACATACCTGGGACATAGCCGGCAGAACGGCCTGGGACACCATTACGG